CGTGGGCGTAGCCCCGGCCTCCTATTTTATTCCCATTTTCTCCGATTTATTCCACGTTTATACGACCCTCCAAATGTCGTCAGCGCATCGGCGCCAGTTTACAAGTCCTAGCCGCGCGCTAACACCTCTAGAACGCATCACCAATGGGCACGCATCAGCGCATCAGCCGCGCCTGCATCGCCGCCGCCCCGTCGCCGCATCACGCTTCCTCGGTAACAGCCGCACTCCGATCTCCATCGGACATCCGATTCCCGTTGGCCCGACAACGTCATACGATATGACACACCGGCCCCCGTCCATCTCCGAGTCCGATCGGCAACGGACATCCTATCTCCGTCGGCCCGACAACGTCATACGATATGACACGCCGGCCCTCGTCCCCTAAACACTAGCAAATCGCCGTAGCACCGGTCGCTTATGTAATGCCTGGTCCGTGCGCACCCTGACTAGTATATAAGGACTCCCTTCGTCGCTACCTAGCCCCATCTCAACCTCTTGGTTTATTGGGCTAGGTAAGCCTTCATTTGTATCGTAGTACAATTGCTAATATAACTTGGTTTATTGGGCTAGCTAAACAAGCTAACACATCAGTCGCCAGACCTCGTCGGCGCCGCCTTCTGATTAGATCCACGCAAGTATCCCTCGTGGTGTGTCGACGCAAGTCCACATCATTAGGTTGAGATCTTCGTGCACCCGGACTACTCCCCCCTATCCAGTGCCCCGTGCACAGTTTTAAAAAAGTTTATTCCTACCGTTTGAAGAGTAAGTCTCTTCGGCGATTGGTGGCAGACGTACGCGCGTAGTGCTAATCCCTGCATAAAACCAGTGCCGAAGGATTTGCCCGACCGCCCCCGCGCTTTCAAACGCCTCGCGGACGAGCGTCACCCACGCCTCCGACGCGCGCTGCCCGAAGCCGTATTCGACCAACTCAGTCAAGAACGCGAAGCAGGCGCCCCACACCAGTACACCACCACCGAGCTCCGTGCCGTCGTTAGGCACGTCTCTACACTCCCGCCTCCGTCCACCGCTCTCCCTACCATCGACTGGGACGCAGTCGAGCAGGCCAAGCTCGCGGCTCACGACGACCGCCAGCACTTCCAGGCACAACGCAACCAAGCCCGCACTAGGCAAAACGCGCACGCCAGTGCCTCTTCCAGCCGCTCTCTAGCGGATCGCCTCACCGCCACCCTGACCTACACCCCCATCGCTCCAAAGCCCGTCACCATCGACTTCTCTCGCTACACGGCCGCCGACCTCACCCGTATCTTCGCGCCGAAATTCGCCGCCACCCTCAAGCGCTTCAACGTGCTCGAGTCGCTTGACTGCCCCGACGTTCTAACCGACGACATCAACGCCGTCTTCAAGCTTTGCGACCGCCTCGCTCACCTCGATCGCACCCTCAAGGACGTCTCACGCGTCATCAGCGTCGAGGAGTGGAACCGCTGGGACTCAGGATTGAAGCAGATCGGCGGGATCTCGTTCAAAGGACTGCGGCGTAACTGAGTCCAGATTTTCAAAGCACTTCGTGCGGTTTGGGTTAACGGATACTTCGATTAGAAAAGCTGGACGAATACATAGTTTTCGAATATATAGATTACGACGAGGAACGAATCCTCGATCCGTACGTACTAGACTACGCGCTCGACCATCTCGTCGAGTTAGAATTAGTACAATTATTCCTAGAACTCCCTTTCCACTTTCTATAAATCTGTTCTCCGTCCTATCGGACGAATCAGAAACAGTGGCAGACACTCGCCTAGTTTGCGCGGCCTTCGCTCACGTCTTCAACTTCGAAGAAGCTCGAGACTACTATTTGGATGAAAGAAGACAGTTAAACACTTGCACAAACTATCTCTGTCCAAATTGCTACTACGAGCACCAGACACGACCAGTCACCTCCGAGAACCCACCTTACCTGTTCATCAATAGCGAACAGGAAGGACGAATTCGCGAGCGATACCACCTAGAAGAACCCACCGAAGCAATGGACGTTCCACCCCCAGCACCACAACCCACCATGCAGGACGTATTAAATCTCATGGTCACACTGGTCCAAAACGTCAACAACCTCACGACGACTGTGAACCAGTTCGTAGCACATGCGCGCCAGCCGGTCGCCACGGTTTCTTCCACCAGGTCCCAGTCCTTCGTCGAAAAACCAGCCACTTTCGACGGCAAATCGTCCGAAAAAGCCAGATTGTTCCGCAGCGCCTTCCGCGTATACGTCCGAGGAAACAAAGAGATATTTGCCTCGTGAAACGCTCAAGACGTTATCATCCTCGACCATGCCGGCAACTGGATAATGGACCCGCTCAAAATGATCACCGGTATCCTATCCTTCATGACAGATGAAGCAGCGGTCTGGGCACGCCCTCACATCGACGAACTCTCCGACGGACGCACTCCATTCAACGCTGACTGGGACGAATTTGTCAAACAGTTCTCTGCTAAATTCGAACCTGTCGACGCGAAGAACGAGGCCAAGCAGAAGCTCATATCAATCAAACAGGGCGATCGGACTTTCGCGGATTATCTCTCTGACTTCGAGACTTACTCTCGTCGTACCGGCTGGTCAAATAACGACCTCTACGATCGTCTCAAGTCCGGGATGAATTCGGATTACCTCAACAGGCTGTCCTACTTCGCCCCCCTGGCCACAGACTACAACCAGGTGAAAAATTACGGAGCAACAATCGACTTGCAGAAAGCAGACCTGGCGGCCAATCAAGGCAAACCAGTCTCGCAGCCCCGGTCATCGACAACGACGCGCTCCTCCGGCTTCCGCGACCCGAACGCAATGGACATCGACGCCATAGACATCTCCGCCGCACGCTTCGACGACCTATTCCAGGGTCTCAAGGACCCCGCGGAGATCAAGAAGCAATACAACAAGCTCATGGTCGGTCGCTGCCGCGTCTGCGGTTCCAAAGGTCACAAGGCAGACGGAGCGCATGAGGACACCAAGTGGCAACATTGTGGTAAACCCGGTCACTGGAAGAAGCTCTGTCTGTCGAGACTAAACGGACAACCACCAAAATCGCAATCGGTACGAGTTTCATCGTCGACAAGTCCCTCGACATCGGCTTCTATCTCTGCGTCTCAAGACTCGGCTGCCGACGTAGCTAGTCTCAAAGACATGACGGTCTTGATGCAGAAGCAACAAGCTGAATTGATGGCAAAGCTTAGCCAGGGTTTTTAGCAAGGGCCCAGACTAGAGCTGCAGCTCTGGCGCCCGGTTTAGATGAGCAGCCTTCAACAGCGCCAGCTCCTGTACATTCGGACTCTGATCCTTCGGACCATATCTCGTCGTGTACTGTATCATCGATAGATCACCTCTCGTCCCACTTTCGCGTATTTGTAACAATATCAGGAGTAAATAAATCTCTACGCACACCTGCTATGATCGATTCCGGTGCTACCGGTTACTTCCTACATGAGAAATTCGCACGAGAGAATAACATCTACAAACGACCACTCAAACGACAGATAGGTCTCCGAAACATTGATGGATCGACTAACAGCGCTGGTGCAATCACACACTATGCCAAACTCAAAGTCAAAATCGGATCGAGAGCTCCTGAAGAATACGACTTCTTTATCACTGATATCGGTCCCGAAAATATTATCCTCGGACTACCGTGGTTAAAGAAAGTCAACCCCACTATAGACTGGGAAACAGGCGAAATGACGCTTCCTGACAGCTCAGAAGCATCGCCTGATTTACCTGCGTCGCCAAGTTTAACTAAAGTCGAAGCTAATCGAGCTGAACGCCGGGCCTGGGTGAAGGCCGGTATACTCGATAACGCTACAGACGAAGTTTATTGCCTAGCAGGCTACACCTACTCTCAGAAAGTAGCAGTCGAACAAAACAAGGAGAAATACTCGAAAACCTTCGAGCAACTCGTCCCCAAAGAGTATCATCGACATGCTCATGTCTTCTCTGAGACAGATTCTACGAGGCTGCCTGAACATAGAGCCTGGGATCACGCCATCGATCTAAAATCGGACGCCCCTTCAACGATCCAATCTAAAGTCTACCCGATGAGCCCAGCAGAAAATCAGGAGTTGCAAACTTTCCTTGACGACGCAATCAAGAAGGGTTACATAGTCCCCAGCAAGTCGCCCATCGCTTCACCTGTCTTCTTTATCAAGAAAAAGGATGGCAAGCTCAGACTCATCCAAGACTACCGCAAACTCAACGATGCCACTATCCAGAATAGATACCCACTGCCCCTAGCTAACGATATTATCAACAAGCTACAAGGCGCAAGGATCTTTTCTAAATTTGACGTCCGTTGGGGATACACCAACGTCAGGATTAAAGCTGGAGACGAATGGAAAGCGGCCTTCGTCACCAACAGAGGACTCTTCGAACCACGAGTCATGTACTTTGGACTGACCAACGCGCCGGCAACCTTTCAAGCCCTCATGGACACGATCTTTGCAGACCTCATCGCTGAAGGGAAAGTTGCAGTATACTTGGACGACATCCTCATCTGGTCTTTGGACCTCGCATCACACCGAAAGATCGTACACGAAGTACTAGAACGTCTCAAGGAATACGACCTTTATCTACGTCCTGAAAAATGCGAGTTCGAGAAAGACCAAATCGAATACCTCGGCCTACTCATCAGCGAGGGATCGGTCAGCATGGACCCAGGAAAAGTGAAAGCGGTCACAGAATGGCCTACGCCCGCAAATCTGAAAGATGTTAGAGGTTTCGTCGGGTTCGCCAACTTCTACCGCCGGTTTATCCAGGACTTCTCTAAGATAGCCCGCCTGCTGCACAACCTCACGAAGAAAGACGTTCCCTTCATGTGGGGCTCTGCACAGCAACAGGCTTTTGATACATTGAAGTCCAAGTTTACTACTGAACCAGTACTCGCTCTCTGGCACGCCGATCGAGATACGCGCGTACAAGTCGATGCCTCTGGCTACGCTACTGGAGGAGAAATCAGTCAGTTAGATCCGAACGACACTCTATGGCATCCAATTGCCTTCCGATCGCAGACCATGAATGCTGCAGAACGCAATTACGAAATCTATGATCGCGAGCTCATGGCCATAATCGAAGCTCTGAGAGATTAACGTCACTTCCTAGAAGGACTGCCTAAACCGTTCGAAATCTGGACCGATCACGCTAACCTCCAGTAGTGGCGTACAGCACAACGACTTCCACGACGACAAGCTCGATGGGCTCTTGAACTAGCCGACTACGACTTCATGTTAACTCATAAACCAGGCAAAACACATCTCGTCGCAGACCCGCTCTCCCGTCCCAGCTCTCAGTACATATCTGACGACATGGATAACCAAATGCAAGTGGTCCTGCCCGACAACAGATTTGTTAGCGCTACACAAAGTCCAGGACTAGGTCCAGCACATTTCGCGCGACTAGCTGCTACAGCCTTTGTCACAAGCTCACCGCTGGAGAAAGAAGTTCGCGATGTAACCTCACTAGATGACGAGGTCTCCACCGCACTCTCTAGCCTCCGATTAAAAGGGCCTCGCAAACTAGTCAACGGATTAACCGAATGGGAAGAAAACGACGGACTCATCTATTACAAGGGCAAACTCTACATACCGAACGACGTCGCCCTCCGTAATAAAATCATCGAGTCCTGTCACGATACCCCTACGGCCGGACACCCAGGAAAACACGGGACAATCGAACTAGTCTCCCGCTATTACTGGTGGCCAGGAATGAACTCCGCCATAACACGATATGTGGCAGGCTGTGATAAATGTCAGAGGTACAAAGGAGCTAAACACCCCAAATCGACTCTCAAACCACAAGAAGTCCCTGACGGGCCTTGGCAGCACGTTGGAGTCGATATGGTTGGCCCCCTTCCTCAGACAAAATCCCCAGGGAAATACGACGCAGTCACCGTTTACGTCGACCACTACAGCGATCAAGTACATCTCGCACCCTGCCGCACTACCCTCACAGCGGAAGGAGCATCCGAAATACACTTTCGCGAAGTGTTCAGACACCACGGCCTCCCGCGCAAGATCTTCTCTGATCGTGGACCACAATACGCAGCACGCTTCATGCGAAGTTTATATAAGCGACTCGGTATAGAGTCGGGTTTAACTACAGCCTACCATCCAGAAGGAAACGGCAAAGTCGAACGAAAGAACGCCGAGGTATCTAAATTCCTCTGGTTATTCTGTTCACAACGTCAAGACAACTGGGATGAATGGCTCCCAATGGCAGAGTTTGTACTCAACTCACGAGTACACGCTGGAAACGAACATTCCCCCTTCGAAGTACTCTACGGATACAGGCCTGACTTCACTGTCCCAGCAGGGAAACATTCCAATATCCCCGCACTAAACGACAGACTAGACAATATGGCCAAAATCCGTAAAGAAGCAGAAGCAGCTCTCCGCCAGACTAAAGAAAAGATGAAGGCCGACTACAAAACTCGTAAAAGATCGCCTCACTCTTTCAAAGTCGGAGACAAAGTCTGGTTATCTTCGAAAGATGTCTCAATCCACCAGCAAACCCGTAAACTCGGACCCCGACAGCTAGGGCCATTTACAATCACCGAAGTTATAGGAGAACTTAACTATCGCCTCGAACTACCCAACTGGCTCAAGGTTCACCCCGTCTTCCATGTCGATAGGCTAAGCCCTTATCACGACAACGGAATGAACAAACCTACACCTCCTCCGCCAGTGATAGTCAACAACAAGGAAGAATATGAAGTCGAAAAGATTCTGGACTCACGTGTCTATCACAGACAGCTCCAGTATCTCATCAGATGGAAAGGATACGGACAAGGTGCCAACGAATGGATTCCTGCCAAAGACGTACATGCTAAAGAACGCATACGCGACTTCCATAAGCAAAATCCTTCGGCACCACGACAGATCTCCACCACCTCCTTCAGCGAACTCCACAGTTGCTTCAAGCCTATCTATGAACACACCGATCCCAGCTCTACACTCGCCACTAATCCTAAAGCGGCAGAATTCGAGTGGGAAACGGGCAGAATACAGGCCATATCTTCTCGCCAGGAGTCTCGATTGTAGGGGGGGGGTAATGTCATGGGCGTAGCCCCAGCCTCCTATTTTATTCCCATTTTCTCCGATTTATTTCACGTTTATACGACCCTCCAAACGTCGTCGGCGCATAGGCGCCAGTTTACAAGTCCTAGCCGCGCGCTAACACCTTGAAAACGCATCACCGACGGGCACGCATCAGCGCATCAGACGCGCCTGCATCGCCGCCGCCTCGTCGCCGCATCACAC